TGTCCTACACTCTGGCATCAGCAAGAAGAGATCCTGACCTTCCTCTTTGTGACAGCCTTTGGGGTGCTTATAGAGGAAAATCATGTCCCCCCTCAGTCTTCTCATGGCTGAACATGCCCAGTTCCCTTAGTCTCTCTTCATAGGGCAGCGTTTCCAAAACTTGGATCATTTCTGTCGCCTTCTGCTAGACCCTTTCTAATGTACCGTATTTTTCCGTGTATAAGACATTAATTTTTCTTAAAAACATTTACTTAAAAATGGAGGTGCGTCTTATACATGGGGGGTCAAGAGGAGAACCAGGGGTGCGCTCGGGGGGAGGGGAGACTGGCACGATTGTGCATGCGCAGGGGAGCAGGGGTGGTGCACACACATGTGCGGCAGCAGCTTGCTCGCTGGAGATGGGTAGGAAAAGTGGGGGGTGTTCTATACATGGGGGGCGTCTCATAGATGGAAACATACGGTACCTGCATCTTTCTTAAATCTTGGTGCCCAGAACTGGACACAGTATTCCAGGTTAGGTCTGATTAGTAAGGAGTATAGAGGAACTACTACTTCTTGTGATTTGGAAGTAATACTTGTGTTAATGCATCCCAAAATAGCATTTGCCCTTTTGGCAGCTGCATCGCATTGCTGGCTCATGTTTAGGCCATTCTCCACAATTACTCCAAGATCTTTTTCTTGTTCAGTTATGCTGAGCCATGTATTCCCCATCTTGTATCGATGCCTTTGTTTTCTTTTTCCTAGGTGGATGACTTGGCACTTGTCCTTATTGAATTTCATTCTGTTGGTTTCGGCCCAGTGTTCAGTTTTATCAAGATCACCCTGGTTCTTCATTCTGTCTTCTAGGATGGTTGCTATTCCACCCAGTTTTGTATCATCTGCAAATCTGATTATCTTTCCTTGTACTTCCTCATCTAAATCATTAATAAAGATGTGGAAGAGCATTGGGCCCATGACTGAACCCTGTGGCACCCCACTAGTTACCTCCATCCAATTTGAGAAGGTGTCATTGATGAGCACTCTTTGTGACCGTTTTAGCAGCCAATTTTGGATCCACCTAATAGTTTTTCCATCTAGTCCAATTTTTGCTAATTTGCTTATCAGAATGTTGTGTGGCACTATGTCGAAAGCTTTGCTAAAGTCTAGGTAGATTATGTCCACAGTGTTCCCTTTGTTCTCTGGGAGGTTACCCAGTCAAAAAATGAGATTAAATTAGTCTGACAGGATTTATTTTTGATAAATCCATGCTGGCTTCTATTAATCACTGCATTTTCTTCAAGATGCTTGCAGATGAATTTTTTAATAATTTGCTCCAGAATTTTTCCAGGGATTGATGTCAGACTAACTGGTCTATAAGTCCCAGGTTCATCCCCCCCCCCTTTTTTTTTTTTGAAGATAGGGACATTAGCCCTTCTCCAGTCATCTGGCACTTCTCCTGTTTTCCAAGATTTATTGAAGATAATAGCCAGTGGTTCTGAGAGTTCCTCCGCTAGCTCTTTTATGACTCTGGGATGGAATTCATCGGGCCCTGGAGATTTGAAAGTGTTTATTCCACCTAGGTATTCCTTGACCATTTCTCTGTCAGTCTTGGGCTGCCATCTCTCACTTAAAGCTTGAACTTCCTCTTGATTGCAGATTTCCTTGTGGGAGGAGACTGAAGCAAAGTAGGAATTGAGCACCTCTGTCTTTTTTTGTCATGGGTTATCACTCTGCCATCCACTTTAAGTAGCTGATCTCAATAGGTTAGAACACTAAGCAGAGAGCAACAGGATGAAATTCAAAAGGGACCAATGCCAAGTCCTTCACTGAGGAACAAGAAACCAAATGCGCTACTACAAGCCGGGGGACACTTGGCTCAACAATGCTGCAAATGAGAAGGATCTTGAGGATAATGTAGATTGCAAGTAAATACGAGCCAACTGCAAAAGGGGCAAATGCTATTTTGGGCTGCATTAACAGAAGCATCACTTCTAAAACACGTGAAGTACTAGTTGCACTCTATTCAGCGTTAGTCAGAACTCCCCTGGAGTACTGTGTCCAGTTCTGGGCACCTAAATTTAAAACAGATGCAGAAAAGCTGGAAAGGATAAAGAGGAGGGCAACAAGGATGATTCACAAACAGGAGGCAAAGCCCTATGAGGAAAGATTGACAGAACTGGCCATGCTCAGCTTCAGGAAGAGAAGACTGAGGGGAGATAAGATAGCGCTCTACAAGTACCTGAAAGGTTATCACAAAAAGGAAGGACAAGCTCTCTTCTCATTCATTCCTGAGTGCAGGACGTGGAATAACAGTCTTAAGTTAAAAGATACCAGGTGTGGACTAGACACTATTTCCTCACTGTCAGAGCAGTTCAACAATATAATCTATTAATCGACTTCCCGAGGGAATGGCAACTTGAGGAAGCAACAGTGAATGTTGCTGCTTTCTGCCTTATCATGTTTGGGTGATTATAAATCCCCCCCAAGGGGTGTTTACCTCCCTAAATGACAAGTGAGCATCAAGACTCTGAGTCTGCAGCTCTAATTTCATGGAAATGGGCTGATAAGGTAAAACTGGAAACAGTAAACAAAGACGCCCCCCTCATGCTTGCTCCTTTTTATTTCCTTTTATCTTTTATTTTTTATTTTTTATATATATCATGACATTTTCTTTGCCAATTTAACGCAGCTTGAACTCTTAAGGCATTTCTGTTTGCATATTTTGAAGGGACTCCGAAATGGATCATCTTTTGTTGAGAGACAATGCCTCATTTGCAAAGCTGTTTAATGTCTGCACTCTAGAACTAAGCATTATGAATACTGTAAACTGACCTTGGTATGAAAATACCAGCTGGGTGAATTCTCATGCTTAATTGTGCTTTTTGAATTGAGAAGGAGGACAACAGCGCTTTTCGGACAGCTGAAACTTGAGGTTATGATTTATTTGTGATTTTAAGGCATTTCTGTTTCTCTGCTTGGAAAGGACTTTGAAAAGGATACTCTTCTACTTAATTTTGCAGCTGTAAATTGTCTGATATTTTTATTCAAGAATCCTGTACATTATAAATTGAACTTGGCTGAAACCCACTGTAGCGGAAGAGACAGTTCTCTCCCCCTTCGTCACAATTTTTAAGGGAGTTGCTGGTTGTTCGAGTCAGGTGATTTTTTGTTGTTGTTTTAGATCTTAACTATACATGATTTGCTCTAAGGAATTATTATATCTCCCTGATAGGACCTGAGGGTTTTAGAGACAGAATGAAGATAATATCAATTAATATTAATGCATTGATTTTTTAAAGAGAATCAAAGTAGTTACTCATGAGTCTTAAAAATATAGTGTCAGCCTTTCAGGGAATAGTCAGTTAGGATTGCAGCTGGTTCTGGCTAGAGACCACCAGAGCCCTCAACAACCGAAGGATGGAGAAATGGACTGGTGGAATCTGCTGTCGAGAAGATTGTTAGAGGAATATGCAGTATAAGTGGATCTGAGGTGTTTAACAAAATAGGGAAAGCTGTGGAGGATCTGAAGTGACTGGAGGATCTGTTGTTGTATAAATTAAGGATTTCTTTTGTGTTACATTTTTATGGAGTGCTGATGGATAGATTCCGAGGGCTGGCTATACTGATTGGATCAGTATAGAATTCCCTTGACAATTTTGTCTATTTCAGCTTGCTCTGTTTATTAGGGTTGGAGTTTATTATTATATCTGTTTATTATTGTTTTGTTTCAAAATATTTTTAATGGAACCTATTACCTGGGGAAGTTGTGGATTCTTCCTCACTGGAGACATCCAGAAAGTATTGGGACAGTCATCTGGATGGGATGGTGTAACTTAGTGTCCTACAATAGCAGGGCATTGGACCCAGTGACCTTCTGGCCCCTTCCAACTCTATGATTCTATGAAATGTACTCCACCTAATACATGGGTCCTCAAACTATGGCCCGCAGGCTGGATCCAGCCCACCTCAGAGGTTTTGGACTCGCTCAGAGAAAACATCTCGGAGTGAGCAAGCCCCCGCCATGTGCCCGCCCGCTGCCACCTTGCCTCGCCTTGCTGCGCGCCTGCCCACTGCCCCTGCCCCCTCGCTGGCACCTTTCAACTGGCCCCCTCTTGAAAAAGTTTGAGGTCCCCTGACCTAAAACATTGTAGGAGTTTAGGAAATGTATGCTTATAAGCAAATGTAGCATACAAGTATGTTTCATTTCTATTTTTTAAGGGAGTTGTAATGGGCAGCTTCCTCTGAATATACAGTAAATTGGATATCTAATGTTTGCCTGAGCAATGCATGTAGGTGTCGTTGACTGAATTCAGGTAAATGATAACCCACACTCAAGGTCCAAGTATAGATTGTCCTTGAACTATGGGTTATTGTTTAAATGGCTGCTGTCCTGTTGTCTGAACCCAGCTGTGCTAATAAACCATGGTGAACAACCCGCAATTCACAACCCAGCAACCTAACATGGGTTCTTCTCATGGGTTGTTTACCAAGCCATGGCTTGTTAGCACAGTTCACTGAAGTTTCAACATCTCACACTCAACCTTTGAGTTTGGCTTACTGTGTTGTCTGAATCCAGTCACCGATCTTTTGATGGTGATTTCACTCACACATCCAACACAGGTCTACTATTAACAATACCCTCTTTCCAGACCAAAACCATGCCACCCCATATGCAAACACAATTATTTTAATTATATTATCCTCCCAGGTAAAAAAATACACTCCCTCAAAAAAGGAAAAGCAAATGTAGTGGTCTCGTGATGAGCAAGCTTGTGTGAACCCGCCACCTTCCGCTTGCCTCTCGTCCTGCAAGGCGTCATCACCACCTCGCAGCCAATGCCATGTGGAAGTCGCGGCCAGAAGGGGGCGCTGTGGCATCGCCTGCACCCCCGGCTTGGAGGCGACTGGAGAACTTCCGGTCGGCCGCCCTCCGCGTGACGTATTTCCTCCCTGCCCAGGCGCTGGGGAGGGGGTGCCGCGATCCAAGGTGAGGGGAGGGTTGGCGGGGCTGAGCGCGGCGCTGCTCATGCAGATGTAATAAGAACGGGGGCGCGGGAGCCGGCGGCCTTCATGTCCTGCTTCCCGATCTCCGAAAGAGCCCGTTAACCTGGAGGGGGGGGTGTGGGAGGGGTGTGGTGTGCAGCCCTCCAAAGGAAAGGGCCAGCCGGGGACATCAGATTGCCCAGAAGCAGGAGGCCGCAAAGAAACGTGTGAGTCGGTGAAATTGGGCCGCTCTCGGAAGAATGTGTTGTTTATAAGGGCAGGAGTAGAGGCAGTTGCTTGCGAGGTAGTGCAGACTAGTGGTTAGAGCGCTCGACTAGCACCGTGAAGCTCACTGGGAGGCCGTGGGTCTCTAGCTTCCAGCTTGATTGTGAGGATTGTTGTGATGATAAGATTGGAGAGGAAGCGTATCTACTGGCTTGACCTCCGTGGGAAAAAAGCAGAGTAGAAATGTTTTTGTTTAAATATTTTGGAATACTCAAGCTTTTTGAAATACAGCCCTGTATTCCTGAAAACACATTTCTTGAATGTTGTAATGAAACTGTAGAAATGTTTAGACAACATTAGACATGTATCTAATAATGCTTTCCAAAATTGTAAGGCTCAAGTGCACTAAATGTGCTATGATGTGGGTTAATGCAAGTATATGCCTTTGTTTGTTTGTTCATAGCACTTTTACACCACCTCATAACCCACAGGTTTTCTGGGCAGTTTACAAAATTTTTAAAAGATAATCAGTAAAATAATAATATTTAAATAAAATGCACAGTAAAACCAATATAACAAGATCAGCAACCTACAGCAACTATAACATCATTAACATATGGCACAGCAGCAAAATAATACTGATAATAATAAAAACATTATTGCAAACTAATCTTTATCTGTTAAAATGTCTGGCAAATAAAGGTTTTCATCTGGTGCCAGAACGAAAGCAAAGAGGGTGCCAGTGTACCTCACTGAGGAGCATGTTCCAAAGCTGTGGTTCCAGTACTGTAAAGGCCCCTTTTCTTGCGGTCCTGTGCATGTCTGCTCAAAATCAGCTGTGTTTAGCAGGGGTTACTGCTAGGAAAGTGTGTTGCAGCCTAAACCTGGAAGCCCTGCTGCCTAAGCTCACTTCACACTCCAATCCATTTGATGGAAACTTTGGAGATTTAGAGTGTAAATGGGTTAAAGCCTACATAGTTATGCATTGTAAAATGAGGAGGGATATTAAGGCATGATGGACTTCATAACAGTACTCTAGATACAGTCTCTCCTCTAGTTGCTCAAAGGAGTTCAACTGCAGCATCTCAGATTTGATTGCCAGATGGAGCTAGATGTGTTGCTTGTGATCCTTATGTGTGGGGATGGATATTGCCATTTCACACTGTGCTATGGCAGAATGCTAACCACTTAGGTGAATGGCAATGATTTTTGTAACCCTAATTGCCATGAGAAGGGGTAGGTTAGAGAGGGTAGACCCTGAGCTAGATTCAGAAATGCCATGGGTTGCATTTGGCTCTGGAGTCCAGAGGCTCCCTGCTGTAAATGCCAGAGGCCACATTCTCTATCAGTAGAACTCACAAGAAGAACAGTATCCCAGAGATATAAACTAAACATTAATGGTGCACCAATTTCTGTAGGCCAGTGAATTACGGAATATAGCCCTGTGCAACCAGAGAAATGGCACAGAGCACCAGAGAAATGCAGACTAGTTCAGGGGCTCCTTATGTCTGCATTGCTTCTGCCCACATAAAATAGTTTTCAATCTGGAAGCGATATTGGATGACACCATGATCTAGCCTTTTTTTAATTTTTGGATCCTGAGTGATCCAAAGACTATAGCACATTGGCAATTGCTTCAGGGGTAAAAGAAAAACTTGGAGATATTAAAGAGGAGGAAATGGCAGGATGTGGCAAAGGCAAGGTCCAAGAGAAAAAGAAAAGTCCAAGGCTTGGTCGCAGGGTTGTTTGCATTAGGGATGGATGATAACCAGTGACACAGAAATGAGGGAGGCACGCTACCATGTGAAGGGCCTAGAAATCATTTATTTGTATATTTATATACCACTCAGTATAATTAAAATTTCAAAAATTTAAGGTTTTAAAATTTCAAGCAGTTTAAGTAAAACATTTATTTTAGTATTTATATTCCTTCAAGTATAAAGTTTTGAGTCATTTACATATATTAGAATCACATTTAAAATACAAATTTTAAAGCAATTCCATTAAAGTAAGGATGATACAGAGCAATATAGGAGTGGTAGTATAGGAGCAGCAGCATTAATTCATCGTGATTCACAGAGTACAAGGGAACAACCTGTTACCCTGAGGACCTTTCAGTTACAACAAAAAGATAGCAGAGGCAGGGAAGACCAGTGAATTCAGTTACAAACTGGATGAGTATGTACTTATTTCAGCTAAATGTAAGTGTAGGCTACAAATGCTATACACATGACTTGGGAATAAATCCCACTGAATTGCAGTATGGGGACTTACGGACTGTGATAGTATTCTCTTTCTTTTTATTAACTATCTTTGCAGAGATTGACCTATGTTGAAACTCAGTCTTGGCAGAAGAATGGCAAGAAAAAAGTGATGGACTTTTTCTCCTTTTGGCAATTGCCACATCCACTTTCAGAGAGGGAAGAAGAATTTGTTTTAATGCTTAGAATTAGAATAACTTCCACTAAGTAAATGGACAGCCGAGGGATACTCCAGTTATGGAATATTAGTAGCCAGAGCACCACCACAATTGACTGTAGGGAAACACATTAGCACAAAGTGCTGGTTCCACTTGAATTTTAATTCCACATCAAAGAATTTGCAAGAGAAGAGAGTGGCTCTTCACTTGGATCAGGCGAGCATTTGAAGAGGACTCACAAGGGATATTCCATGGGAGAAAAGCACTTGAAATACCCCAATCTTGGGGAGAGCTTTCGGAGCAGCTCAGATCTCTTTGACCATCAGCAAGCCCATGCAGCAGCAGACAAGCTGTACAAATGTCTGGAGTGTGGGAAATGTTTCACTCATAGTAAGAACTTCAGCACTCACCAGAGAATACACACTGGAGAAAAACCATACAAATGTCCTGAATGTGGGAAAAGGTATGGTGCCAGCTCAACCCTTAGCAGGCATCGAAAAATCCACATGGAAGAAAAGCCTTATACATGCCCAGACTGTGAGAAAAGTTTCAGTTACAAAGCAGACCTTATCAAACACCACAGAGTTCACACAGGGGAAAAACCTTATGTCTGTGGAGAGTGTGGGAAAAGCTTTAGTCAAAGCTCAAACTTCGTTACACATCAGAGAAGCCACACAGGAGAGAAACCTTATGAATGCCCTGACTGTGGGAAAAGCTTCACTGTAAGTTCGAGCCTGATTGAACATCAGCGAGTCCACACAGCTGAGAAACCCTTTTTATGCACCGAATGTGGTAAGAGCTTCAATCGGAACTCACATCTCAATGTGCACCAGCGTATTCATACAGGAGAGAGGCCCTTCCAGTGTCCCGATTGTGGGAAAGGCTTCACGATACTTTCCACCCTTAGTAAACATCAAAGAATTCACACAGGAGAAAAACCTTATAAATGCCCCAAATGTGAACGGAGCTTTAGGGTGAGCTCGATTCTGACACAGCATATTAGAATACACACAGGAGAGAAGCCATACATTTGCTCTGATTGCGGGAGAAGCTTCAGTCAAAAATCACCCCTCATTGCTCACCAGAAACTTCATGCTCGTCAGAAAGCCCCATAGATAATTGGTCAGAGACACAATAATGTAATTGAGAAGTTATTTATCACAGTGATTGATCATGGATTGGGATATAGAGGGTAAAAAAAGGGTAGGGATAGAAAATGAACAGACATTTGCTATCCTATGTGGATGTTAATGTGCTTTTTAAAAAATCACATCCACTGATTTCCTTATTTCCTTAAAACCTACTTTATTTGGTTGAGAAGCTTCAGGAAAGCAGCTCTGTAGTGCTGCAGAGCCCTCTGAAAATCAACACACAGTCAAGCTGTGAATTACGACTTTGGGTTGCCATAAGGATAATGGGAACTAGAATTTGCTTATTTTGGGGAGGAGGTTATTGCACAGATAAATTTTGTACTCAGACAGTCTTTAATATTCATGGATGTACATGCTTTTAAATCCTTTACCTGCTCCATGAAATTAACAAATGGGAGAGATTCTTTTGACACTTTTTTGACAGCTGAAATACTGATATCACGAAATCAGAAGGATACGCACTTACTTCCTACAATGCAATGGACTGAGGACCTTACATATGGCATATAGATGCCAACTTCAGATGGATACTTATTTGGATATTTGGTCTGTTTTTGTAGAAGCATATGTATAACTGCTAGAAAGCTGTAAGCATTTAATACAAGTCCATGTTCATATATAAAAACGTAAAAATAAAAAATTTAAAAAGTTTTTTTCCATACACCCCAAGGTACCACACTGAAGATGCCTGTAGTAAACTGACCAATCAATTCTTTCAAAAGCTTTTCTGAACTGGGGTCTGTTCCATTTGAAAAATACAGGAATTTTCCTACAGTGGAGGAAGGTGTCCTTGTGTGGGTTGCTCTTGCGACTCCCTCTACAAGGCAGGGCTCTGCTAAACAGACTTGTGGATGATGCCTCTTGTTGGAGTGAATTCCTCCTGGTCCTGGTCTTGTCTAGCCCTGTCAACCTGCTGCTGCTGTTGCTTCTTTCCCCTTTTGCAACCCCCCCCCCCCCAATTTTCTCCTCTCCATCTCTTTCACCTCTCCCATCAGCCAACACCAGGTAATGAAGGAAGACAGCTTCGGTGGTACAAAATGGGGAATCCCATGCTGAGCAATCCCAGGCCTTTGGACCTGTTAAAAGTTCATGTTTACTATAATCTGTAATATGATACTTAGGCAGCAATACTAAAGGTGCCAAAATAGGGTTTCTTGTAGTGGCCTCCTCCCAACTTGGTGACCTGCAGTTTCTATCATTCCCAGCCAGCATGGCCACTGATGGAAAACAAACATGTCTTAGAAATAGTATACAAGTTTTAAATCCTTTTACTGACTCAGACCATTGGTCCATCTAACCCAGCCACTGGCAGTATCCCTTGAAGGCCTCTGGCATGAACTGTTGCCATTGTGCAGTTTCCAATTGTTGCAGCTGGAGATCCGCTGGATCACATCAGTGAGGGACTTCATGGCTTTTCTTTTTTTAGAATACTTCAATAGCTGTCTTTCATGCACTGCCTTGTCAGCCAGCTTGGCTTGTGTCCTCATATCCTCAGGAACAAGAATACGATACAAGGAAGCATGTGTTTAGTTTGTGTGGACAGGCATTTGGCAGTTGTTAGCCTGAGGTGACAAGCCCTGGCTGCAGAAGATGGGCCTTTGGCTGGTTCAGCCACAGGAACGGACGGACGAGGCGGGTCTCCTTGCCTGCTGTGTCTCAAGTATTTTCCTCCACTGACCTGGCCAAAGATAAGACTGCTTTTGTTCCTAGCAGTGTTTACAGTCATTTTGCCTTCAGGTAACACTTTTTACATAATCCCCTCTCCCTGCCCAGTGCTCAGAAATGTTCTGTAGCACACAATTCGTGTAGGGCAGAAATGCAGAAACTCAGGCCTGGGGTCCAAAGCCAGCCATCCTGATGTCCCAATCCTGGTTCCCTGGAAAGCAGGTTCCCTTGCCTTAGTCTCACCCTAAACTACCAAGAGTTTGGTCCCAGCTTTAGTGTAGTTTTTCCCCTTATTGTAAAATTTTGACATGGCTCTCTGTCTAGAGAGTTTCATGCCCAAGTGGGGACTAGAACCCAACTCTCCCAAGACACACTAACCACTGTGCCACATGATTATGAAAGTAATTCAAGCCACATTCTAAGAAGATGGAAGGAAGAAGGTAGACCTACCAGCACATTTGAAATAATGCAACAATTTTAACAAATTATTTTATGGAAAAATAAGTCCAACCACTGTACCGTACTGGCTCTCTGAAGCATGGCAGTCTGAGTGCTGCTTACCTGGCTGTCCAGGCAGGCTTCCGTTCAAGCCCTGCCCAGCTTCCTGATGTGGCACTTTCTGGCTTTTCTGGTTTTGCCTGCTTCTCTATCCCCATGCTTGGCTGGGCTACATGAAGTTGAGGCTGAAACGCTTCCACTCTTCAATCCCATGCCAACACCACATTTGGATCCAACGGTGCTTGCAAATGTAATCCTGGAAATCTTCCCCTAAGGTCTTGCAACTAGGGATCATTCAGTTGTATTCTGCTCATTGCGTATTGTTGTTACGTACCTGCCTTCAAGTCTTCTCCAACTTATGGTGAGCCTGTGAATGAACGCCCTTTGAAATGTCCTGTTTTTGACAGTCCCATTCAGCTCTTGTAAACTCAAGACTGTGACTTCTTTTACGGAATCAGCCCATCTCATGGCTGCTCTTCCTCTGATCATAATGTAGCGTTGAAGAGTGGAAAAATTGTTGGGAGTGTTGTGTACACTCACAAGGTGCATACTTTGAAGGAGACAATGTTCAATTGTAAGATTTTTCAATAAAAGAATTTTTAAAATATTCTCATTACTTTCTGGACACACCTCCTATGTCCTATACTCAGATTGAACAGACAGGGAGGTAAAATACACCCTTGTGGGATTCCTTTGCCTATGGAAATGACTCTGTTTCTCCATACTCTGTCCTAGCAATCGTTTCTTTACAATACAGGTTACATGTCAGGACAGCCAAGTGCTGAGGTGCTCTGTGTAGCTCCATAGCTTCTCATGAGCTACACAGGGAAGCTGGAATCTATCTGGAATGTCAGACATTTCTCACTCCGTATAGGGCAAAATTCTTTGTTGAAACACCTTGCGCATCATTTTGCTTGCATGGAAAATGTATGCAATGGTCTTATAGTTGCTGCGCTCCTGAGAATCTCCTATCCCGGATACTGGAATGTGTATTGAACATTTCCCGTCTGCCAGCCATTGTTTTGCTTTTCATATTTGTTAGCCTAGTCTTGTTAGGATTCTTCAGCCTCTGCCACTTGGAATAGTTCTACTGGTACTCTGGGTGCCTTATTCCTTCCAAGCACTTTCAGAGCAGCTTTCATTTCACTTTCTAATATTTCTTCTTCCTAGGATCCTTCTTTGATGGAGTTTGTTATCCTTTTATCATTTCTGTTTAGTTCTTCCATAGGTTGTTTTCAACTTCTCTTTATTTTCTCCTTGTTAGATAGTATCTCACCCTGTTGGTATTTAAGCATTCCTGATTTAGATTTGAATTTACCTTTGATGTCTTGGTTCTTCTGGAAGAGGATGCTCATCCATTTTTAAATTACATCCCTGCAATGTGGGAATTGACGGCTGAAGTGGATCCTGAGAGCTCTTATAGCTGCAAAGAAGCTTATACTTCATGCTTGGAAGGAAAAACACCTACCACTCCCTGTACAATGAACTGAAGATGTGTCTGCTCTTTCAACATTTGAACATACTTTCTACAGCCATCAGTCTTGTACAGAGGCTTATTTGGATAAATGGACTGTTATATTAACGTACATGCTTGAAGTGAAAATGTTAAATCCCTTTTTGCTTCTGGGGTGATGTTATCATTGGGTACAGATGTGTGTTGTATGTTGCTCTTTCTCTTTTGGAGTCCTCCCCGCATTTACGTGTGTGTGATACTTGTGGCCTTTGCCACACTTGATCTTAGCCAAAAGGTCGAGAAATGATGGCCCCTGATTCCTAAAAGTTGAAATGCCTCTCCTATAGATCAGAGCTGGATTCTGCCCCCCCACCCCAATTTACCGAGCCAAATTTTATAGTCTTCTCCAAAGATAAACTGTGGAGAAGCTTATCTGACGCTACCTTCTTGCAGCGTGCAAGCACTAGCTCACAGCAAAGAATTTACACTTTAATGTGCACACACCTCTTTTGCTTTCTGCTACCCCCTCACTGGCATGGAGCCAAAAGCCTCTCCGAAATAAGGACGTAGCTTTGGAAAGGAAAGCGCTTCTCTGTCCCTGAGTCACCATTTTGGATTTGCCAGCCTACGGGTGGCTGCCTGGCGCGAAGAAGCAGTGGCCACCCTGTCCCCACTTCTGCAAACAATCCAACGGGCGGGCACATGCGGCGGGCCAAGCTGGCTCGCTTTCGCGGCCAACTCTTTCGCCTCACAGGTGGTCACGGTTTCACAAGAGTGCTGCTGCCGACTTCCCCGTTAAAGGGGAGCTCACTTCCCAGGCCCGAATCTCAGCCCCAGCGCGAGAGGAAAAAGGTGGAGAGAAAACGGGGGTGCTCTTAGGAATCGAAAAGATTCGATGCTCTGGTCTCCAACGCCAGAAGACAAGCAAAAAACCAGATTTGCATAGCTAATTTATATTCTGCTCTAAATCTGCATGCGTGTTTTTGCAGGACCGTCTCCTAAGGACTGCCCTATTTGTAGAAACGGGTGTACGGATGGGGAAAGGAGGCAGTCGATTTCAGAAGAAAACCTCAGGCAGAAACATTCAAGCGGAGGGGGCGGCAAGAGCTGACGCCCTGGGGGCTACAAACACGGCTAGTCCAGAGATCTTCGGTGCGCGCAGAGCCCTGGGTGGTGGGCAGAGGGCCTCCCGCAGATTCAGGGCTCCGGCCCTGCTGCAACGCCCCCTAACACCGCCCCCGAGCAGCAGCAGCAGCAGCAGCAGCAGCTAGGAAGGAGAGCGAGAGGATCGAGGGCCGCTGGCAGCCCACACCTATCGCGGCAGCCGGCGCGCATGTCAACTGCACGCCGCTCGCCCTGGCTCTCATCGCCCAGGCGCAGCCCAGCGTCTTGCGCCCGGCGCAGAAAGGGCAGGCCGCTCCGCGCGCTTCGCTTCGTGCGCGTTTGCATCCAGCTGCTGTAGCCACTAGAGGAGGCCGTGTTAATTGCTGCCGGAGACGGCCGTTTTCCGTCTCTCTTGCCGTCTCCCGGCTCCCCGTTAGCATGGAAGGGGCGGCGCTTCCCAGCGAGACAATGCCAGCGGAGCGGCTGCGGCTCCAGTCCCGGCTCCCCGGCCGCCGCCGCCGCCACCACGTGGTCTGGCGCTGGCGAGAGACCTTGAGCCTTGCTTCCTGTGCGCCTGATCGGAGCGGGCACTGCCTTCCGTTCCCTGGCGGAGTCGGAGCCTGGCGGACGGGAGAAGGAGTCGTCCTTGGCCGAAGATCCGAGCAGGTGGGACTGCGCGGTTTCCGCAGGGGGGCGGAGAAGGGGGCTCCGCGGCCAGGAGTGGGAAGGAGGAAAAGTCCGCTAAAAAGCGCAAACTCTTTCGCCCTAGCCAGCATCTCCCTTCTGTTTCTGGGTGAGGTGCAGGCAGGAGCGGGAATCAAGGGCTCTTTTCCGACGATTACAGATTTCTTGCTCGGGGATGGCGGAGCTCCCCACCTCCTCCCTTCGCTGCCACCCCCGTCCCGGGCATCCTCTCAAGATAGGCTGCTGGTGTTCCAGCCAGGACATCACATGTTCCCGTCGGGAAGTTGCGATCTTTTGCTGGCGCTGGGAAAATGCGATTCCTCCTGCATCCTTCGGGCCCTGGGCTATGTGCACGTGTTGGCTTTGGGGAGAAGGTGAAGGGCCGCTTACCGTTGGGTTGCTCAAGGTGTCGGGATGCCTCTTAGCTGAATGCCTGGGTAGCACTCTTGCCGAACCCTGTCGAAAACTTCGTTACAACTTTATTCCTGTGTGATCTTCTTCCATTGTTTCTAAGGGTTCCTGGCAGAAGCCCACATATCACCTGTTAAATTTGCGGAGCAAACCTTGTGCTCACCATCTGTTGTATAGCTATTCCCGTTATTGCATGACTTAATCCTTTCTGTTTCTTTAGTTGTATCATTAAAAAATAAAGTAGTTTTAAAGAATTCAAAATTATTGTTCTTAAATTGGATTTCTATTGCATTTTTTTCCCTTCTTCTGAGGAACCCAAGGTGCTTACATAGCTCCATTTTGTCCTTGCAACAGCGACAGGTAGGCCAGGCTAAGGGGAGTGACTGGTCCAAAGTTTCCCAGTGAATGTCATAGGCAAAAGAATAAGAACCCAGGTCTCCTGGGTCCCCAAGCCAACACTAATCACCACCCTATACTGCCTCTCACACCAGATGTGCTAGCATTGGGGTGTTGTATGGCTGATACAAGGAGTGTAGCTAGCAGTCTTGAAAAAACCCAGGGCACAGAGCTCCAGCCACTTGCAAGGCAATGTGCACAGCAGTTGTGTTAGAGCCAAGCTGTTTGTGTTGACGCAGCAGCCTGTGTTTTGTATAGGTCATTGGCTGTGCAGAGATGGTAATGAGGAAGGTGGGATCTAAATCAAATGAGTAAATAGTAGGAAGCTAGAAGAGTCAGAATTCCCATAGAATTTCTAACATGCCCGGTACTTTACAGACCTCCCCCTTTCTTACAGATGGGGAAATAAGGTGGACCAAAGCTGCCTAGTCAGCTCGTGCTTGGGTGTGGATCTGAATGAAGACCGCATGCGCTTTAACCTGTGCCAAGGAAAACAGAAGTGCAGGTGGGACACTGCCTGATCTCAGACTGCAGGCCAGTCCGGCTGTGGGTGATGCTGGCCCATCGTGTCCAGTTACCGAGGCTGAACAAAGGATAAAATAAAGGAGACCAGTTTTTACTCTTGAAAGCTTGCACAATCTTTTGCAGCATTTTGGTTGGTCCTCATTTGAGCAGCATGTCTGTTTTTACCCTTTTATGATTTATTTCATTGAGAAGTAAAAGGCATTTTACCATAGTATTTTTCTGTGCTTTTTTTCAGGACTTCTGTGCATTAGTTTGCATGTGGAGATTCCATGTTTCTAAGGATTCCTCTTCCAGTCAGGAACTCAAATAAGAAGCAAGCAGCTTGTTCAGCTGAGCACAGACCTGAATCCAAATCTTGAATCCAGTCCTCCTGCCCTCCCCACTCCACAACCCAGCACTATTCTAGTCACACTTTGGCTGTGCGCACTGGCTCTCCCTGTTTTAGGAAGAGAACTTAAAAGGCCTCAGTGCTTTGGCCCTGTGCCTGCCTGTGTCTGAGCAGGACATAAGACGCTACAGCTTGTCTTCATTTCAGCTCATTGTGAAGGCTGAAGAAGTGTCCTGAGCTGCGAGGACACATTCTTCTGGCACACCTGGCTCCTGTTGCAGAAGATTAGAGGTGGTTGTGATGAGGAAATCAGGAAGCTGTGGGAAAGCAAATAGGTAGGAACAGCAGCCACATGAAAGCTGGTTTGAAAGATGCTTCCAGAAGCAAGAAAGCAAGCAAACGAAAACAAGAATATTTGAACTTAAGGGGAAAAAGTCTCAACCTTCCTTCATCATGAAAATCCTTAGCAAAGCTTTTGGACACTGATGAATGCTGGGATTTTTCTGGAACCAAAACGACTGGCAACAGAAGCTTCCGTGGACTAGAGATTGCTCGGTTAGATGCATGATCCAAGTGACCAGTTGCAAGAGCAGATTCACGCATCGCAGCCTGTACTCGGCCACTTGGTTTTAGCCCCTGCGGAGAGACAGTGCTTGTCCGACAATGGGAGAGCGACCTTCCACCGCACTTCTTGCTCTTTTCCATTCCAGTTCCTATCTGCTGTGCTTACATTTCATATCACGAAGTTTTATACAATAGGTTTGCCTATTATGAGATTTTTAATTCAGTAATATTGAATTCAAAGACATTTTAAATACCTTTTGCGGATAGGTTTTTTTTCAATTTTGCAAAGAAAGCTGGTCAATTTGTAGACGATAAAGAAGAACTATACCTACTGGGGAGGAAAGATTTTCATGGACGTCTTGCCACAACCAAGAATCACTGGCATAAAGAAGCAGTATCCCTGTCCTGAGTGTGGGAGAAATTTCAAGCGGAACTCACACCTCATTCGGCACAAGCGGCTCCACACGGGGGAGAAACCCTACAAATGTCCTGACTGTGGCAAAAGCTTCCGGCAGAGCACTGACGTGAACACGCATCGGAGGATCCACACAGGGGAGACACCCTATCACTGCAACCAGTGTGGGAAGAGCTTTCGCTATAGAACAGGCCTTGTGAAACATTTGCGGTGCCATGAAGAAGAGAAACCCCACAGTTGCCTGGACTGTGGGAAAACTTTCGGCCACAGCCTGGTCACAGGCATCCGCCAGAGATGTCTGGTGGGGGAGCAATCTTACAAGTGCCCTGACTGTGTCAAAAAATGTGAGAACTCAAATCTTGTGGTACATCTGACAGTTCCTGTGACGGAGGAACCCTATGGATGCCCTGACTGCGGAAAAGGCTTTGGCGGCAGCTTTCAAATTATTAGACACAGACGTCTCCATACCAGTGCGGAACTTTTCCATTTCTCCCTTACTAGCTTAACCAGAAGGATTTTCTATTGCCCTCCTACTAACTTAACTGGAGGACGGTCACATCGCATGCTGTGCAACATGGGGCAGTTAGCTTGGCTTCGCACAGGTCAGGTGGAAAAATAGTTTCCTGGCAGGGCCAGTGTTCCAGAAATAGGCAGAGTCATAGCCCAAAGTGGACAAGTTATGGATGTGACACTTACCTTATTCAGTGTATGGTAAAAAGGAAATGAGACATTTCTGTCCATCCACGTAGCACCTTCACAATTTGCATGTTGGCATGCTAGCTGGGATAGAATAAATGCCAGTCATAACCAAGGGGGGACTGCTAGGTGAGAGTGGCTATGCTCTCCAGCCCCGGATTTGGCCCTGGCTCTTCTCCAAAGTGGGTGGTTTGTTCCCAGAATTCCGCAAAAGCTAAATCCACTCCTTTTTTAGCTTCCACCATGGTTTGCTCTTGAAATTCAAGGTGAGGGACAGGGCTAGATCCTTTGGGATAGACAGCATTTTAGAACCTCCTTTGTTTCTTTCCAGCCATCTTTTAAATAGCACTAAAATACTTTTCTGGTTATCATTTTTTCAGATAGTGAAATGCGGCTTACCAGAAAGAGCATTGTGTTACTATAACATAATGCTAAATTTAAAAGAGAGGAAAATCTTTCCAGTCATCACCATTTTAGTCACATTTTTCCTAATTAAAGACTTCCAATCTACACTTTTGATCCAAATCAAATGTTAAACATTTTCAGCTTTTTTAAACATTTCATAGGGAGGAATGCTTAAATGAGTACATGCTTAGCAATACATATATAACTTTATTCCCCTACCCACCCATTGCTGAGATGTGGTTTCTTCCTCCCCTTCCAAGGCACCAGTGATACACACACTGATGCAGAGACAGTACATTGCACGATGAATGTATGGCACAAATTCCACATCCCCGACAGTGTGGAAAGTTGGCTGTGATTTTGCTTGCAGCTTGCAGTGGGTGAGCAGTGCTTGGCTTGGACGAGGCCTGTTAGGATTCCACCAGAAATCCAGCCGATCCAGTTTGGTGCTCACCCCCCTCCCCGGCTTTGCTCCTCTGATCTTGGCTGTTCTTTTTTCCCTCCCTCTTTGAACCAGGATTTCAGCTTCCTAACCCCACTACTCTCTGCAGCCTAGACCTGGATGTGAGTCCTTTGCTCTCGGATCACCTGGATGCGGAAGAAGGAGAGAATCCAGGAAGGTTTTGTGAAGGTGAGGCAAGACTGAAGCAAGTCTGGAAGAAAAGGAAGGCACCCAAGGGAGAAATGAAAGGGGCTGAGACCCTGAGGATGTGCAAAAGTTTCTTACTGTTTTCTGCTGGGTAGAAACGTTCAAGAGTGCCATGAAGGCTTCCACTGGCTTAAAACTGTGGGGGATTTGGTGCTTTCCCCACATATTTTCTCTCCCATATAGCTCCCTGTCTTTCCCTGTGGCTCCTGGTTCCTGCTCTGTTTCTCTCGATTGTACCCTTAGCGATACATTCCTAATTCTATGGAAAAATGCCAATATTGCATTTGGAATGTATAGATTCAAATACTTCTCATGATTTAAGAGGTTTAAAAATAAACCTTTTATTTTTCTTTCAGGCAGAATTTGGGGACAGGGATGGTTCTTTTTTTCTTTCACAGACTAAAGGACTTGTGTCAATTGTGAATTAAGCAATAATTTTTACCCCAAAGTAGAGGACTTATTTAAATGTTTCCTTTTTTAATTCCATCCTTGATTGGCCCCTTCTTGTAGAAATGAGAAAATGCTAAAACCTCATCCTTGACAAACCGATCATTGTTGTGCAGGGAGTTTTATCTATGGGGCAGGGTTATTCAGCTAGGCAAACATCACCGCCCTCACCCTGCAACCTAAGTAGAACAATCCTTTGCCACTGGATGCAACAGTGGTTAAGAGTGTGGGACCGGGACTCAAGTGACCCGGGTTCTAGTCCCTGCTCTGCTGTGGAGCCAACTGGGTGCCTTTGGGCCAGTCGCAGACTCAGCCCAACCTACCTCACAGGGTTGTTGTTGTGGGTATAGGACTGAGAGGAGCAGCAGGTAGAAGGATGCAAGCTGTTTGAGTTTTAATCAGATCAGATGAAAGCACAGCTATGGGTGGGAAGCAGAACTGTTTCTTTGATACCAGGATAAATGAGGGCCAGAGATTTGCCTGGTGGCCCCAGCCTGTTCCTGGCTGTAGCCCAGGTACCACTGCTGTTTGCCTGGTCCGCACACACCTTCCCCTGACCCCTGATGTGTGGCCTGTGCTTCCTTTCCAGCCTGCGATCACATTGTGGCGAAGAACCATGGTGAGGAGGAGACCTTTACGCCTGCAAAATCTTATAGGACTTTATTGGGAAGACTCCAAGGGCTCAGTTCCCAAAGCCACACAGCCTATAAGGAGAGACTGGACTTTGAAAGGTGGCAGTGCAAACGGCCGGGATTAGCGGGGGGCGAATTCCCCATGAACGAGAGAGAGAACCCGCCTGGGTGCGAGCGGCTGTTCTGCTCGGAGAGGAGGCACCTGTGCTTCATGTGTGGGAAAAGGTTCCGCTTCGAGTCCCACCTCATCACGCATGAGAGGATCCACACGGGGGAGAAGCCCTTTCAGTGCAGCACGTGCAAGAAAAGCTTCCGGGACAGGTCCGATCTGAGCAAGCACCAGAAAATCCACTCTGGGGAGAAGCCCTACAAGTGTCTGGACTGTGGCAAAAGCTTTCACCATCAGCTGACTTTCATCAGGCATCAGAGGCTTCATCCCAGAGAGAGAGCCTGTGAACAGGGCAATGTGTATTTAGCAATTCTGCCATCATTGCACACAGGTACCGAAGTTACCCCTGGGGGCGAAACCAAGCCATCTGAGACTCTGGGCTACAATTTCAAACAAAAAGTAAGTTTCCAGTCCTTAAGATCGTCACTAATTATTGGGTGAAACCCATTAATAGAGATAGGGCCTGAGCAGGTTTTCTTTCTGACTGGAGTGGTGCTTAAATGCCCAGCATGGTGCTTTGCCTCCTTTACTAACAAAGGCAGGATGAGTTCTGTTAAATGTGAATATTTATTTATATTTGTATGCCGCCTGACTTAACCTTGCTTGGTTCCAAGTTGTTTTTCTTAAATGCGTGGTCTGTGCATATGCAGCTTTGCCAATGAGTGCATTGGGAAGATTTAGACAAATGTATATCCAAGTGAACATGAAGTGCTTCATACAGCTGAACGTGGTGCAGTGTGGGGGTACTCTTGACCCTGCTTCTCTTCCGGGCATCTGAGGACTTGAGACTGAGACATCCTTGAGACGTTCCTAAGAGGAGTCAGCTTAACATGACTGATTAGACCTCTCATGTGGGGACATGCTGAGATCCTCCTGGAGCTGGACCTGAAAAAGGAAAATATACACGGCAGGAAGATAGGATAGGCCCCATGCAGAACTGTTTTCTACCCAAAGGCTGCATTCCGTTTTGGAAACACTCTTGCGGTTGCATTTCAGTGGCAGTGAGGCAAAGGAGCCGGGGCCCAAAATAAGCATTTTTTAAAAATTAACTTAAAGGCTTTTCCATCCTTAGGAGAGGCGAATGGTTGATGTTTGGGGGAAGGGGGTGGGGCCAGGGGAAAGCAGCATGGCCTTGTGGGGGAAATGGAAAGGGCCAAACTGGTCGCCCACTTTTGAGGCTTTGCACCGTGTTAATGATCAAAGGCCAGGCATAGTTGCGCATCTTTACTTTCGCCACAGCTGTCATAAACATATTTTCACCCCTCAGGATCCTAGTTCTCTGTGGACACTGGAACTGGCAGAAGGGACAAAGGTATATTTGGCTCCCACCTAGAAGGTAAGCGGTGAGGAAGCGGATCTAAGGGGCGATTCGTCCGACAGGCCCTTCAAGGGGCCAAGAAGAGGCTGGAACCAGCTTTCCCTTTGTTCTCCTGGGGGCTCCGTCATCAGAGGCTGGTCTGATGGTGCTTTGGGAGGGGGCGGCATCCTTTGCTCATCCCATTTGGAGAGGCTTACACTGCACTCAGCGCCCAACTTTCAATCAGTCGGTTGAACAGGCAAGTCGACTTGTTTGTGCTTTGTTTTGTTATTGAGACCCTTTTGGTTTTGCTGCGAGAAAAGCTGTGAAGGTTCCGATATGAAGGGCAGCCCTGCGTGAGTGGCAACTGATCCGTCAGGTCCTCGCCTCAGTGCTGCTGCGGATTCGGCCGCGATGTGACCAGAAGGTGCATGGAAGGGTCAGGCCGGCCCAGTCTGGAATAGAGAAACCTGCTCACACCGATCTTGACAGCAGGGGGCAGTGCTGTGCTCGTTTGAAAACAGACTTGGCAGGGCTGGCCGTGCCCGCAAGATCACTGTATCTGTAGTTATATAAAAATAACTATTTAAAAAAAAAACACTTCCCAATTAATCAGAGAAGATCGATGTTTTCTTTTAATCAAAGCTTTGTAATGCCCAAAGCCTTAAAAATCCTCTATCTATGATAAAGCGATCATTACGGTGTGTCGGACTGGGATATATTGCCTACAATTAACCGTGTGCATCCAGTGAGGAGCCCCTGGCTCCCCAGATGTTGTTGCACGGTCTCTCCTGTCGTCTTGGATTATTGGTCAAATGGCTGCAGCTGATGGATGTTGGAGGGCCTTGGCTGGATTCCTCAGCCCTGCGACACACTCAGTATGCCTTCGACTCCAGTGGGACAGACTCCTAGGTGAGTGTGCATGAGGCTGCAGCCTGAATGAGCTACTGACACTGTTAAAAGTTGAGGAAGGAGGGAAAATTAGCAGAGCATTTAATCAAAGATTGTTATTATGTTCTGGAATAATGTTCAGCCCTCTTCATTTCTAAAAATGAGAGAGAAAAAAATGCATTTTGAATTTGAGCCTGGAATACCAAAGTAAATCTTTCTCAAGAAGGTTCTTACTGATCACTTGGCTACAGGTAGCCGTATCTGTTTTCTGTTCCTAATGCTAAGGCCCTTCCTACATATCACAACTCCAGTCACTTGTGGATTTTCTCCCTTTGCTCCATAGGTGACAAACAGTGATTTTTAGCACAGTTGTCACAAGACGTCCAACCAAATGCTGTTGAAGGGATCCCAAGGAACCGTATTCCGAGATCTGCACCTGGGAAGCATTGCAGGGGGAGAAATTTGAGAGGCCATGCGAGCGATGGAGCTTTCTATCAAGTGTGCATCCCTGCAGAGGGAGAGAGCAGCTTTGCATCCGTCAGGGGCTTGACCCTTGTGGCAATTTGGAGGTCATCCTGTCCAGGAACAAGTTCCAGGCTCCAAATGGCAGAGGCAGCTTTGTTTGCTGTTCTTGCTTTATTACACACTGATGATTCTATGAGAAGCACAGCCAAAGGACAGGTATTAAGAGCAGATACTATGCGAAGCTCAAATGTTATGCTGCAAAATCATCTCTAAGCACGAACAGTCCAAGCAACTTTATCGTCTCCTCCGAAGATACGTTGTGGAAGAGCCCCAGGTGCTCTTGCTGTCGGACTAACTTCTTCCAGCATGCAAGCCCTAGTTTATGTCAAAGAAGCCATGCCCTACGGGGAATCCTGAGATGCAGAATGTTTCCCGTTTACTGGAAGAAGATTATGAGTGCTCTGAGCAGGGATGCGCTGTCTTGCAAATCATCCCAACACCATCAAGACCGCTGGGAAGAGGAGCCACAGAAATTCACTCTGTGTGTAAAAGGTATGCTGAAAGGAGCTTGCCTCTGGCTGAATGTTAGAGTGATCGGGTGCACTCAGTGGATGACTCCGCAGAAGCCAGGCAGTACCACGCGTCTAAACAGACAAGTTGCCCCTGCTCTTTCAGTGGAAAGGTAGTCACAGGGGAAAAAACCTGCTTTCTTGGGGCAAGGTCATCTACAACCCTGTACTAAAAAAAGGAAAGGAAAAAGCACAGTGCCGCAATTGCATTCAGTGCCACTCATGCAAGTCGTATGTTTGCATACACTGAAACTGTGTAGGCTCTTCGAGAAGGGAAGCAGCTTGCAGGGCATCTAGCCTGATTCCCTGCACCCACAATTTTGCTTTTATTGAAGAGCATAATATGAGAGCAGCCCTACTGGACCCAATCTAGTTCAGTGTCTTTTTCTCCCAATAGGAATCAGTCTGATATTTTTTGAAGCACACAAGCTGGCTGTGAAGGCAAGTCAGTTATCTTTCCCTGCATCATTCACAAATTAAGTTCATTTACTGTTTCTTTTAAAGCAATCTAATGTTAGTAGCCAACACAGTTTCCTTTACCACTAAAACAGCCTGCCCCATCCTGGTGCTCAAAATAGCAGTCCAAAACACCTGGAAAGCCCCAAGTTGGGGAAGGCTGATTTAAAACTTACCCATCTAGTATCTTCTAGAACAAGGAAATACATGCAGAGGAAAACCTCGAGCCAAGTCACTGAATGTCATTTGTTTGAGAAAAGGTGACATGTTTGAACAAACTAGCTTTTAAGTTTTTAAAACATTCTTACAACATCCTGTCAGTTGGATTGCTATCAGATTGTTGAGTGTGGTACAAGATGCAAGGTGTAAATTTGGTAAGTTAAAACACGATGTTGCTTTTAAAAAGGCCGCACTTTTCTTTGCTGCGTCTGCATAGATCACTCCCCAGCCCTTGCTACCCACACTGGCTTGGATATAATTCCAGCACACTTCAAGCATGCCTGGGGTCTGGAGATCATGCAGCCCACCTGTCATAAGAAACCAAGGACATTGCTTTATGTTGGCTCAGATGGGTTCCCTGTTAGCCCAGTATTGTCTACTGTAACTAGCAGAGGCTTTGCAGGGCTCCCACATGGAGCTCTTTCCTGCTACGTAATCCTTTAAGCTGGAAATATCAGTAAAGGTAAAGGTAAAGGTTTCCCCTTGACATTAAGTCCAGTCATGCCTGACTCTAGGGGGCGGTGCTCATCTCCGTTTCCTAGCTGAGGGAGCCAGCGTTTGTCCGCAGACCGTCTCCATGGTCATGTGGCCAGCATGACTAGACACCGAAGTGCGCGGAACACTGTTACCTGCCCACCGAAGTGGCACCTTTTCATCTACTTGCATTTGCATGCTTTCGAACTGCAAGGTTGGCAGGAGCTGGGATGGAGCAACAGGGACTCACCCCGTTGTGCAGATTTGAACCAGCGACCTTTCGATCAACCAGCCCAGCAGCACAGTGGTTTAAACCGCTGCGCCACGAAACATCCATGGCGGAACCTAAATCTTTCTGCATGCAAGGCAGGCGTTCCACAGCTGGCTGTGCCACAAGCCTCAATGAGTCCAGGAACCCACCGAGCTGTGATTTCTCTCCCGTGCAACAACTCCGAGCGGTCAGAGCACCTGCGGCAGCTCCTAGTGAGGTGAGAAGATGCCACATCTTTGTGGCTTTTCAGTGGCCGCAAGGCTCTCGAGAACCTGCAAATACTTAAGAGGACCAATTGAAAAGGGCGTCTCTGATAGCAAATTGTGGATCAGGCCCTAGTTTCCGAAAGGCACAATCCAATTCATGTTTGGGCAGAAAAAAGCCCTACAGCTCCCAGCATGTTGGCTGGGAAATGCTGGGAGATGTAGAGCTTTTTCCTGGGTAAATATGTAACAGAATACAACTAAAAGAATCTCTGAAAAAGCATTGTAGTACACAGTTTTTCTTCACTGGTATTTAATATTGCTTTCCTTGAATTGTACAGGGGTTTTAAAAAATGTAATATAAATGTCTTTAACTCTGACAAATGCTGTTCCTTTGTACTGTCAAATAATGTGTTCTTATTGCAAGCTACACCAAGCCTTAAAGCATTGGGGTGGGGTATAAATGTAGGCATCAGATTATTCTTATTAAATTAAAAATCCTTTCTGAAGAGTTCCAGAGTCAGATTTTGAACATTTCCAAAATATCTCACAATGTGCACATTCTCATTTTGGGCTGCTAGTTTGTGTTCCACTTAGACCCAATCATTCCTGCACTTATGAAGCTACTAGGCCAGGGCTAAAGGCATGCCAGCATTTGTCAGTTATAACAGATGTGCTTCTATGGATACAACCTCAAAAGTCTCAGTCTTGCACAAGCTTAGACATAATGGGAGTTGCTAGGTGTCTGCATGAAGTTTCTGTACTTACAGCCAGACCTGTATTTCTGTTTCCTTGCTTGCCCCACCACACTAGACCTCTCCCCATGTCGCCCTCTGTGCGCGCCTGTACCGGGCCAGGTACCTTGCAATAGACCTCCATTCATGGGAAAGACTGCAGTTCACGGATGGAGCAGTGTGTATGGAAGATCCCCATTCAATCCATCGCATCTCTGGGCAGGGCCGGGAAAGGCCTTGGAGAGTTACTGCTGCCCTTCAGGATAGAGACCAAAAGAGCTGTGCTGCATGACACAGAGGCCTACTTTGTCCAGCGATCTGCTCGTACTGCAGCCAACCAGATGCCTCTGGGAAGCCGACAAGCAGGATGTGGATGTAATAAGCACCTTCCCTTTAATACTCCCCAGCAATTGGCATTGAGAGTCGGGCTACCTATCCAGGTGCTTCCAGACAGGGTTTCTAACCTGCAATTGCCCTGCCTCAAACATGGCATTTTATGGGGGGAAGGTGCTGTTTTCCATCTCGTGTTTTCCTGCTTGGAGGAGATGTTTCTCTCCCTCTCATCATGCTAGAACCTTGGGTTATCCCGTGAATTTGTGGGAGATTCAAGATAGACAAAAGGAAGTCCTTCGTCATACAGCATATGCTTAAATTACAGAATTCCCTTCCACGGGATTTAGTGATGGCCACCAATTTGGATGGCATTGGACAAATTCATGGAGGAGGGGGCTATCGGTGGCTGTTAGTCTTGATGATGTATCGTGCTACCTCCAGGATGCCTGTGTACACCAGCTGCTGGGGAACATAGGCAGAGAGGTCCTGTCGCCCTCACATCCTGTGGGCCTCTGGCTGGCCACTGCATAAACAGACTGCTGGATGGGATGAACTTTTAGTCTGATCCAGCAGGGCTCTTTGTCACTCTTTTTTGCATCAAGGGGGAAAAAGAACCAATCGCTGCATGATACTTTTCAGCTGGTAGTGCCAGGAGCCATCCAACTGATTCAGCCAGGAGCTGGCAGCTCCTTTGGACAGGACCAGTCGTCATGGCCAGCCTTAGCCTTTCTGGCAGTGCTGAGCTAGATGGACCAGTGGCCCCACTCCAAGTTCAGAGCACATGGAGGCCTTCGCAAGCTCTCATCCAGCAGCCTGATCTGTCTCCTCTAGGCCCATCGCATGCCCACCAGGTGTGCTGCACAAGAAAGCCAACCTGGCTGGACAGGAGCAGGCTGTTGGGGACTTCGCACCGGGTGCAGGAGGGCTGGTTGCTGGGTTTGGCATAGCATGCTGCTCTCTGGCGCTGCGTCCTCATGGGAAAGGTCAGGTCAGGTCAGGAGGAGAGAGCACGCTGGAATGCCTGCAGTGACACAGCACGTGCGGAGGCCAAAATATACCTCTTTAAAAAAACAAGACATTTTAGATTTGCAAGGAACTGGCTGCATTTTGCAGTTGGGGGTCATATTTTATGTCCCAAGGATGGTCAGAGAGAGTAAAGGCTTTCCTGTTTACATATTATGCAAATCAATAAACATAACAAAAGCTACTTATTTTGCTTATGTTCTATTTGCATGACATATTTCCTTGTTTGTTTAATGCATACGCATCTTACAAAATATGTGGTTTTCAGACATGGAGATGGAGACGGGACATAGTTGGAAAAGAAAGTGAATGGTGATAAGGAAGGAAGGTCAAGTCCACTTTCAAAGCATAAATCTTCTGCTGTTTGAACATTGGAAAGGTGCAGATAACACCTTCATGTTTCCAGCTATTCCTAATCATGAGGGCTAGAAACCATTTTAATATAAGTGCAGAGCATATCATACATTCTGCACAAGATACTGCATTTGTGGAAGATGAAATAGTGTCTGTTGATGCTCTGGAACAGAGTTTGATTATAAAAATTTAGCCAGTATAGTGTGGATAGAAGGCTGGACTGAAGACTTAGGACATCTGGGTTCTAGTCCCTACTCATCCATGAAGTTCACAGGATTACTTTGGACCAGTGACTCCCTCTCAGTCTAATCTACTTCACAGGGTTGTTGTGAGGATGAAATGGAGGTATGTAACCCAATAAGGTGGGAAATAAATGCCTTGCAGTAATAATGTCATTCTGCGATTATCAAGACCAAACTAAGATGGAACCAGGAGTACCACTATGATATTTTTTCTTGTTTCCTTAGCTGCTTTTCTCACATCCTTTTAGTTCTGCAAACTGATGTTGCCAGACTCCCAAATTATGAATTAACATTATTTGAGGATTATTCCACTTTGCTAGTTTGCCAGTTTTTTTTTTTTCAAGATTTGGAGACTTGGCACTTCCAAAATTGATTGAGGAGAACTAATCAATTCTACAACAGACTCACTAGGTGACTGGATAGCACCTCAGTTTATCATGGAAGTTCCAGACCTACTTGAATGTCTCTGTGGAGAAAGGTCCTTGCTTTCTCTGGCAAGTTTCTAGCGTGTTCTGGTGGATTCTAACTACATAAGGTAAGTACAGATCAAGAAGTGATGTTTTTCCAGCACTGCATCAAGAGTTCTATGCTTGCTTCATAATGACTGCACTTGTTGAATATTGAACCTGTAAAGGCACCAGAGTGTGGCATCCTACAGTGTGGGGGGCCAGAAAGAGTGGAAAAGCAAGGAAACCTAATTTGGCTTAGCTGTTGGAAGGATCCCAGAACTTCAGCACCCTATATGGGCTTACCCAGAAGTCAGGCCCATGGAGTTCAGTGCAGCTTACAGATAAGCAGATATGGGGTTGCAGTCTTAATCAGTTAAGGGTGCAATCCTAAACTTGTTTCGGCTGGGGATGCTGGCAGTTGTAGACCTTTTTTATGGTACAGGATTGCACCCTATTTGGCCATTAGGTTTGAGCATACATTTGATCCTTTCTCATTTAACGCTCGAATGTTTTCCTTGTATTCTTTTACATATGGCGAAGCGGGTTATGAAGCACAACAGGACATGCCGCAATTTAATGTAGCATTGTATGCTATATATGCTATAATGTACCACAATGCTATACGTGTCTGCACAAAAGTAAGCTCCAGAGTTCTGCGGGATTTCCACGTGCGTGTGCACAGGATTTCCGCTTCAGTTCTTAACCTGACACTGAACTACCCTTTCGCACTCCCGTAACCGCGACCGTCCCAAGCCCTGCAAATGGGTCTGGCAAGGCGCCCGAAGGGGGGGAAATAGAAGAAAACCCAGTGCTGAAAGTTGCGGTGACCAGCAGAGGCCCCTCGATTTTGCTGGCGAGCCAAGAGGAAGCTGCTCTCTCTCCCTCCTCGACTCAGGAACATCCTGGCTGGAGGCCAGACGCGCCAGCGCCGTCCCGCCCGGAGCGCGAGTTGCTTCTCCGGCCGCGCTCCGAGTTCGGGGGGACGGGCTGGGGGGCGCCGAACTTCTCCGCCCGACCCAAGCGAGGACTGAGCCCCGCTGCCTTTGTCCCGCGCTCGCCGCTTCCCTTTGCTGGGGATCGGAGATGGGAGGAAGGCTCGGGCTTGGAATCCAGTGACTCGCCCCGGTCCGCCACCCCCATATCCTGGGTGAGTAAGTGAGGTGGGGCGAGCGAACGACGTCGCCCTGGTGCTTGCAGGGAAGCCTGGCGAGGAAGGGGAGGAGAGGGGGACTGTTTTCATGCAGCACGTGGAGGAAGAGGTGGTCTATCGACGGCTCACTCAGTGCCCGGGAGGGTAGAAAGGAAAGAGAATGCATGCTGCGGATTTGATCCGGATTCCCCCGCCCCCGCCGCCCCCGGATTAATGGAGACACGGGACTGCGGTAGCAGGCAAGCGTCGCCTCGCTCGGGGCGGGCCCCTTGCAGCTTTTCGGAGCTTCTCGGAGGGCAGTTCCCGTTATTTCCCCCGCCATTGCCTCTGGCTGCGAGGACTGCTGGGAGTTGTAGTCCAACCATGTCTGGAGGACCGCACAAGTCCAGCCCCGCCACAGCCAATGGGCCAGCAGCTGGGGGAGGGGGAGAGAAGAGGGGGAGGACAGTGCTTGCAATTCGGCTCGCAGAGCTGGTTGGGAAAAGCTGAGAATTGCAGGCCTTTTTCTGGTTTAACGTGCATAGGATTGCCCGGAAGGTGGAGATGCAGATTCATTGATCTCCTCTGTAAAATTGTGCTTCTGCTTGTGTGCTCACCATATGACCCTAAATCAGTATGCTAGCTTGACATTAGGGAGAAAACAAGTAAGCACTTCTTCATGCTAGTCCAACAAGTGACAGATTTGGTGGTGCTTCACTCACACAAGACCTGGCTAGCAAGTCCACTCAATGTGTAGCATTTATATGGAAGGTACCAATTTATTGCAGGACGTGTCCATAGAAGTATAGCTACTGTGGGCACGCTGAAGGTTTCCTTTGGCCAGGGGTGGTCAGAAAGTAGTTTCAGATCTACTAAAAGATCAGCAAGGATTTTCTGACTCTCACGTGTTTAGCAATAGCAGCAACAGAACCCCCACCCCCCATCCTAGTGATTGAAGAAACTTCATGCTTTTGTTTTCATCAGTCCTTTGCTACAACTGAGCTAATATGGGGCATTGGTTCAGATGAGCAGCAAGTCCCTAGTTCAGATCTTGGCTTGTTTGAGAACCCTGTGGTTGGCTTTAAGGCAAGGCCTTATGTTTCAGCCCCATCTGTAATGCTGTAAGGGTAGATGGAATTGCACTGACCTACCTTAAAAAGGTAAGATTTACTGAGACAATGTGAAAGGTACTTTTGAATACACAGAAAATGTGCTTTCTAAATGTTATTTATTATGTCTGCCTTTATCTGGTTGATGCTATGATTTCTGTCTTGTGTTTCCATTCAGCCACTGAAGTGAAAATGGAGGAGATTCCCCAGGGCGAAAGTCCTAAACAGGTGGAATTGCACAGGGCAACAGCAGGAGCATCCCAAATAAACATTTGCCAGGTAGAAGTGTCTGAAAGCCAGCAGGGTCCGGAAATGCAAAAGACCACACACTCAGAATTCAGAAAGCAGAAATCTGTACCTTCCTCTGGAGGATCCAAGCGGCCAGTTCAGCAAAGAAAGCGGATGTCAAAGAAACAGCATCCATGCCCTGACTGTGGGAAGGTGTTCAACCGAACCTCAGCCCTCAATGCTCACCGGAGAGTCCATACAGGTGAAAAGCCATACAAATGTGCAGAGTGTGGGAAGAACTTTAGCAAGAGTTCACACCTCATTGCTCATCGGAGAATCCACACAGGTGAAAGACCCTATACCTGCTTGACTTGTGGGAAAAGTTTCAATCATTCTTCCCATGTTATTACCCACCAGAGAACCCACACTGGGGAGAAACTCTATAAGTGTCTAGAGTGTGGCAAAAATTTCCGCTATAGCTCTGATCTCATCAGGCATCAGACTGAGCATGCAGGAGAAAAACCCTACCAGTGCTCTGACTGTGGGAAATGCTTCAACCGGAGCTCTAACCTTCTTATACACCAGAGAATACACACAGGAGAGAAACCCTATAAGTGCCTTGAATGTGGTAGAAGCTTCAGCTACAGCTCTGTCCTTGTAAGACACCAAAGAGTGCACACATCGGAAAAACCTTACAAATGCGCTGAGTGTGGGGAAGGTTTCCACGTGAATGCAAGTCTTCTTACACATCAGAGAGTACACACAGGAGAGAAACACTATTCATGTCCACAGTGTGGGAAAAGTTTCAGATGGATCTCTCATCTTAATAGGCACCAGAAGATACACACAGCAGAGAAACCTGTCTAAACACTTTAAATACTGGGAAAATTTCTGTGGGGATCAAGTATATATTTTATATTCTGGTTTTATAGTCTTCTCTGTTACCCACTTTCCTGTTAACACTTTTGCCTAATTTTATATTGTAAGGATTTTTTGGGTTGGGGCTTATCCATATTGTTGTCCTATAAAGCATATATAAGCCACATTGAGTGACCTTTTTGAATGAAATGATGGGGTATAAATTAAACCAATAAAATAAAAATAGGCATTCTATCAACAGTTTCCAGGGGGTAGCCCTATTGCTGTCTGCTGAAAAAAAGTCAGTGAAGAATCTTACGCCTTAAAAGACTAGCAAAGGAATTTCGAAAGGATATTCCCACATAAAAGCATTACAATTCATCAAGAAATTCAGTCCTACTAGAACTGTCTGAATAGAGACAATGCATCCCTGTGCCAATACAGGCGTTAATTAACTTAGCATAGCTAATTTGGCTGTGCCGTCAGCTATCACTGTTGCAATGCTGGATCATTGTCATTATTTTGTATACATGCAGGCTCTAATTCAATTTGTCACTACCTTTTGCATGCCATATTCCTCTGGTCTCACAGGTTACAATTCCACCTGCAAGATACATACCTGCAGTTCAGGATAATGCCTCATGCATTGGATGAGGTGGACTCCAGTGCATGAAAATGTTTCCCTTGGTCCTTAAGGAGTCACAATACCCTTTGATATTTTTAAATAGTAGCAATAACATGCTTAATTCCAGCAGCTGGCTTTTAATGGCTGAAGGCAGGACTGGGAGATAGAGATATGTATCCATGTTTTAAGCTTTTCAGTTGTTATTTTACAGTGGTTAGCTTCCTGAGCCTTCATGGCAATAGAAATTTGAATGACTGTGTTAGGTGCTATCTGCTCTTCTCTCCTCTGCATCTCATCCTGGCTGCTATAGTCATCCTTCTGCATTCTGCTCATCAGGAAAGAACAACACAATCTGGCACAATTATGAATATTCCTTCGCATGTCTCCCTTCGTATGCCTTCTTTCCAAAATGCTTGGAGCATCCTTACCAGCCACAGTGGAGGCATGGGGCATTTCTTTTCCAGCACCTGTGACTTGAGATTATTTAACTGGAGATGCCAGAGCCTAGGCATGGGTCATTAAGAGCACAATACTGTGCACGTTTAGGTAGTGAACAAAGGCCTACAATTCACAGCATGCCCCAGCCAACATACCTGGCTGGGACATGTTGGGAATGGTTGATCTTGCTTTGGTCTAAACTTGCATAGGATTGTGCGTCAGAGCATGCATTATGCCCTTAAGGGTCAGTTATTCTGTGCATGGCCCAGATGTGATGTCCGTCAAATCTTACCCTTTTATACTTTTGTGCCACTAAACTGATCTTGGTTCATTGCACTCTAGAAGACAGAGATGCCAGACCTCTCTCAGCCCAAGGACCAGATTGAATTTCTGAACTTTCACTTGAATGCTGCCCGGGGCCATGCACAAAAAAAACGATGAGGCCAGAATTTCCAGAGTGCCAGCCTACTTTTGCCTAAAGCTCTTACTGCCCATTACGAGGCCTTAGGAGTCCAGCTTTTTGAAATAGGGGGAAACTATGCAAAATCTGGAAAAGCATCAAACTACGGGGCTGGAGGGGAATGGGGAAGCAGGAAGCACCTGATAACACGGGAAGGTGTGTTGCTATCTGCAGAACTCAAGAAGTACAACTCCAGGAAGGTTGGGTCCCCCCCCCCCCCCGCCAGAGTTTAAACTAGCCCTGCAATCATGTTTAGAAGATTGCCATTCCTAAGTCTGAATTCAGAATGTTAGTTTAGGAGTGGAGAGTCATCATACTTTGAAATCTCATACCAGAGAGGGAAATCTCATACTCATCTCCATGGGCTAGTCTCTGACTATCTATTTACTTGACAGAGTTCATGCTTTCTATGTCCTGCCTTCAGGCACTGAAAACCCCCGTATAAAGGTAGCAGGGCAGCAAAAGACCCTGCCTGAGTTGCTTCCTGCAGATGAGCCACTCCTAGAGTTCTGTAGTGGGTTACATGGCTCTGTGAGTCACTCAGCATAATGCATCTCTCTCTCCCTCTCCCGGATGGACAACGATTGCAGAGAAAGATTCTTTTTTTAGGATACATCTGGTCTTGCATACATGTATCTTCCATGGTATGCAAAATCAAGTGGTGAAATGGGGGTTGTCAAGAAACAATACTTCTGTGTACATTTTTGTCAAAGGTTGCATATTCTGTATCCCTCCCTCCTGTGTCTGTCCTTTATTAGTTCTGTATTACTTAGGTTGACAACCCAGCTTTTCTCCATGATTGTTCCTGAGATGACATCCCTTGGATTTTCAGGTGGTCTCTTTGGGCCTAAATCTGCTTAGTTTCACCAAGCCTGCTGCATTATGTGCCTTCAGACCACACCTTTATAAACAAACAGAATCATAGTGATAGTCATGGTAGCACAATTCTGTGACATGCAGGCCAGCTGTGGTGTACACACTGAGAAGAATTAAATGGAAGAATGGCTTGACCATCACATTTTCAGTGCTCCCGTAGAACACTCCCTGCCAGTGGAAAATGAGCATCAAAAGAAAGTGAATCTTTTTTCCTAACATGCTGGTGTTTTGCTAGCAGTTAAGGTGTGTTTTTTGGCTTTAAACATGGAACCATCCAAAAATAGCATCTTTCACATACAATCTGAATGAACCTCTTAGGATTTGACCAGCATATGCTGTGCATAGACCAAGCCTCAAACTGTCTCTATCCAAATAGCACAATGGGATGATATAATGCAGAAAGGGGTGAAGGGACTGCATTAATTTCAGAGCATAGTTTTGAATGGTCCCCACCCATTTTCTTTAACGTAAAAAGCTCCCCGCCAATAGAAAACCAGTGCCACAAGCACAGGGCTGGCAAGTGCCATTTCTCCTGATGCCCAAGCTTTCTATGTTCAGGGATGCCTGCAAAATTCAGAAAGGGCTTTCCGGCGCCTGAAATCACAATGCCGCCGGCCCGTGCTTCCTCCGCGTGCATTAGGTAGACCCAGCCTACAAAACGTCGCGCGTGCGGTCCTGCACTTCCCGTCGCTGTTCAGATGCCAGAGAGCAAGCACGCCAAAGAGCGGGCCGGTCCTTCAAACTGGAAAGCGCCCCCTGGGAGGCCACGCCCAAGCTGGAAGTGTTTCTCGTGGTGCCGGCAGAGGGCTCCGCTCCTCGCTTCCCGGGAGGTCGATGCTCTTTCCCTGCGCTCCGCCAGGTTAGCGGGATGAACTTCCTGTAGTAAATAGAACTGCTGCCGCCGCCATCGCCGCCGCCGCCGCCGCCGCCGCCCGGGATGCGAGCCCGCTGACGGCGGCAGAGGCGTCAGACCAGCCAGGTCCCTGCCCCGAACCGCCACGGGCTGGGCGCCGATCTGGTGGATGCTCCTAAGAGGCGCAGGCTGCCCAGGTACCCGCGGAGCTCTGTGGGCTGAAGACAGGGAAGTCGCTGCGTGAAGCCCAGCCAGAAGACCTTCTTGCGAGCCGCCGCTTCCCCACCGGTCGGGGAGGTCTTGTGCCCGGTATTGACCAGGCCGATATGCTAGTGGGGCGTCGGGGGCACCTGCCCTCTGTTAAAATTTATGTATTTTAGATGAAGGATAACGCCCCCCCCCCTTCCCATATGCTGTCGCTTTCCTTCGTAGGAGTGCTGCTCCCGCCTTTGATCATTTGCTTCTTTTTCAGCTCGACAATATTCTTTCGGCCCAAATGAAAATTCCTGGCACTGAGTTCTGAAAGAACGGGCACTGATTATTATAGGGTACCAATGCCACGATTTTGGGTTTTCCAGCTTGTATTTTTATCTTTTGGCATTGATGCTATTATGATTTGGAGTAATAAAGTTTGGGTGACAAGCTGGGATGGGTTCAACCAGAAATGTTGTTTGGAGCATTGAATGGGGTTGGCAGTGTTGGCATCTCGAGGCTTACATAGAAGTGGCCCTCTGTGAATGAGGGTTGCTGATTGGCAAACCTGGCAGATCAGGGGTAGCCGGTCGGTCTGCATGAGGTGTGCGTGTGACTCCATCTGCATAGCCCCTGTTACACACATCCAGTCCTGACACACTCTCTCTCCAATAATTTATTTCAGTTATCATGCAAACATGTTTGATTATATTTTGTATGGATTTTGTCCAAACAGTTAATTCACGGTGCTTTGTTGTCCTCCTTAATTACTTCTTCCTACTGAATGGATGGGTCAGAACAGCCTTGACTTTTAGTTAGAGGTGCCTTCCAGCAAATCTACGCAGCTGTCGAGAGCTCGCTCTGTCTGATTGATGCCACAGCCACTGGCATCCCCAGGCATGGCCCCTGCAGTCATGCGTGGCTCACAGCCGCTTGAGAGAGGGCTTGTTTGCTGATCCCCAGCGGGGTGCAGCCCCCTTTGCATGCTGGACTCCTTGGCTTTAACTCATATGGACTACAAAACTTTGTGCTGGTTTGGGGGTCTGTCCCTAGTGGATGAAGGTATCACTGCAGGCTTCAACTAAATGCGCATATTAATTAGAATAAATTAATGTGTTTTAAAAACAAATAACCTGAGAAGCACAGCTGGTAGGGTCCCATTAGTAGGCATGCCCAATTTTGGGTGGCTAGGTTTCATAGTCCTAGTACCACAGCATTGTTGGATGGACAGCCCAACGAATGAACTTCCTCTTTTATTATTACAGGTTGTTGGGCACTGTGGTTGGAGAAGTGAAAAATGAGGAATGCTCTGGTTTTGAATTCTGGTTTCCCTTCCTTCCCCAACAGGTGATGGGATGGCAGCTGTGGAACAGACCTGTGTAAAAGAAGAGCCAGAGCATATGGAGAAGAAGGTGGCATCCACAGGAGGCTCCGAAGAGACAGTCTCCCCATGTTTCCAGCTGGAAGGAGAGAACAAGAGTCAGGATGCACCAGAGAAGCAAGTAAAAAGCACCTCTCACAAAATGCAAGGCAAAACTGCTCAACATGAGGAGGGGAGCTTAAAAAATCTGAACCAAATTGTTATCCAGCAATTGATCCACATTGGAGAAAGTAAGATCCAACACAATACACGAGGGGAGAGCTTCCACCAGAATGCAAGCCTGAGCAAGCCTCAGATTGTCCACTTAGGAGACAAACCGTATCTGTGCATTATCTGTGAGAAAACCTTCCGCAACCACTCGGGTCTTATGGTACATCAGAGAATACACACAGGAGAGAAACCATATAAATGCCCTGATTGTGAGAAGAGCTTCAACCAGCGATCACACTTGACCTCTCACCGTGGGACCCACACAGGAGAGAAGCCTTTTAAATGCTTTGACTGTGGTAAAAGCTTCAGCTACAACTCTGGGCTGATAATACACCAGCGGATTCACACTGGGGAGAAACCCTACAAATGCTTCAACTGTGAGAAAAGCTTCAGTCAAAAATCACACCTGCTTTCACATCAGAGGACTCATGTGGGAGAGAAATCTTTTAAATGCCCCGACTGTGGGAAGAGCTTCAGTTATAACTCTGGTCTTGTTATACACCAAAGAATTCACACAGGGGAAAAGCCGTATAAGTGCTCAGACTGTGGGAAGAGCTTCAATCAGCGCTCACACCTTGTCTCCCACCAAGGCATTCACACAGGGCAGAAGCCATATACATGCAAGGAATGTGGGAAGAGCTTTAGCTTCAACTCTGGGCTTGCTATACACCAGCGGCTTCATACGGGAGAGAAACCTTATAAATGTTCCAACTGTGGCAAAAGTTTCAATCAGAAATCACACCTTATCTCACACCAGAGAGTCCACACTGGGCAAAAATCCTGACTGCCTGAAAGCAATTATCTAGGAGACTGTTTGTAATATAATTCCACTTCCAAAGAGTATAGAACAATGTGCTCTAACCAGTAACTTGTAGGTAACATTGCATCAGCAGTATTTTCTGACCACTGTGATTTGGAGCAGTGAGTGTGTTTTAGAATTTTAAAGGTGAATTTATACACGTGTATTCAATAGTTGATGAGTTGTAGAAAAAGGGCAACAATGGAAGACTGAAAAAAAAATAAGGTGTGTACGCATGACAGTGCTTTTTGCAAAAAAAGAAAAAAGTGATGCTACAGTTACATAGAAACAGAGCAAGTCAGAAGGGGTCTCCCAAGCCATCTAGTCTGACCCCTAGCTCCAGCCGGCTCTGCTCATGACATGTCTACATGTGCATGTCCAGCCTATCCTTGAATACCCTCACCAATGGGGCTTCAACCAGCTCCAGTGGAAGCCCATTCCATACCCTTGGGGTCCTAACTATGAGGAAGTACTTCCTGGCATCCAAATGGAACCTTGGTTCCTTGAGCTTGGCTCCATTGGAGCATGTCCTGTCTTCCTCTGCAGAGGAGAACAGGTGTCTACCCGCCTCTGTGTGACACACCTCATGTACCTATATGTCGCCAACAGATGCCCTTGGAGTCTTCTCCAGGCTCCCTCAGTCTCACCTCATACAGCTTTCCCTGCAATCCAGCCTTCATCCTTGTGGCCCTATGCTGCACTGACTCTAACCTGACTATATCCTTCCTGTAATGTGGAGCTCAGAACTAAACACAATACTCCAGTTGCGGGTGCACCAGAGTCGTATAGAGTGACAGTAATACCTCTCTCGATCTAGAAGCCATGCAGTTCTTTAGTATTCATCTTCATTTGTAGGAGGGAAACAATCTCCAGACTTTAAAACTTAAAGGGTAAAGGATCTATTGATCAACTAGAGAAAGGTACTTAAAACTCCCATTAAAGTCTTAAATTAATCCTTCAGTGTATATGTCTTAGCTTGTGCAGAATCTTAAGCCTTCCTCACCAAGTTGTCTCCAAGTGCAGACTGTATGGGTGGAGGGAGAGAGTGTTCACATCTAGTGGCCTCCTCCTGGTGTTGTTTGCCCCAAAGGAATCCCATTTTTACACATGTTTGTGTATTTTTGGCATGCTCCTGGGAAGGCGTCAGGAGCAACTAACATGCAGTCAGTAAATCAAAACACTTTCTGCCCACAGGCTTACAGTCTAAAATGACATGAAACATCAGCAATCAGAAGGGAAGAGGAAACAATTAAGTATCTTTTTGCATGGCTGGTGGAATGGCCCTGCGGCTCCCTTTCCCCTGTGCAGCAGCTGGAGCGGCTGCTGGTGACAACAGGGCAGGCCAGTTCAGCTGGTAATGCAGAACACAGGCTGAGCAGGCTCTTCCTGGATGCCACACTGAATGAAGTGCTGGGGGTGAGGGGGCTGGTTTGACCCCAACACTGTGGGTCAAATCACAAGGCAAAACCGTGCCACTCTTGCTCCATATCTTCAGTGCATGCTCAGAACCATCATGATAAACAGGGCTCGTTTAATTCAGGACTACTATAAGCAGAATATATTCTGGTGTTAAGGACCACTGCCCAGGTTAGATTATTGCAACACGCTCTGTGTGAGTCTGCCTCTGACAAGGGTTTGGAAACTCTGCTTGGCAGCCAGGGCTGCTGGGTCTGGAGCCCACCTTTCCAGAGCATACAACTTCATGCTCTATTTTCCTTATACAAGTTGTTTCTGAGCATAATTCAAAGCCCTGGTTATTACCCACAAAGCTGGACTGAGCTATATGAAGGACCACCTTCTCCCTCATTAGAATTGCCCATTCACTGTGGTTATCACTGGATGCTCGGCTGTGTGTCCTGATGAAGTCAGAGGGCCAGCTGGCTGAGATGTGGGCCAGGGCCTTTTCAGAGGCTGTGTCAAGAGGCTCAGTTGGCCCCCATTAGCTGATATTTTTTGATGCCTTGGCCTTTTGTCAAAAACATTTTGTTCAAAGATCATTAGTTTAGTCTTATCTGGCACCTCCTCCATGATTTTTTTTTTTACCTGCACATATGACGTCTGGTTTATAGCTTAGTTTCTCTTGTTTTGTGGATTGTCTGTTCTTTTAACTGATATTGTAAACTGCTCTGAGACCCCTGTAAAGCAGAATATAAATGTTTTTATGAGTGAAAATCGAAATTATTACCACCATTCCGTCGGCCATTACTGGAAAATCCAGCCTATGGAGACTCTGCATCAGCCCAGACAAACTTGAGTCCCTTCCTGCAGTTCTGCCGCTGGGCTGGAGGCCAAGGCTGAGGAGTGGTAAGACTGGAGGTGGCAACAGGATTCACTTGTGTTGCCGCCTCTCTCAATATATACAATGTTTATATTAGTGTATAGGAAAGTCCTGTAGTCTGCACATTGGATTGTATGTAGATGGTTGCATTACGGTACCTTAAATATAGTCACAGCCTGTAATGGTCCTGCCTGCTTGGAATAGGTGAGATGTAGGCAGTGACCGATCTTGCTTTTGCATATTATCACTGTTGCATAGATATCCTGTATTGGTTGGAGCCTTGAATTTTTATCTCTTCCCACCCTGAGGCTAATCTTCACAGCTATAACATCAAGTGGGACAAACTGCATGTGTGAATGAATGAATCTTCACTGTTCCAACAGTGCAGTAGAGGTCTTTTTGTATTACACACATCCCCTCAAATATTAGGCCTTTTCAGTAGAGGCAGCTTATACATGCAAATGACAGACATCGTGTGATGTACAAATTGGCTCTAAATCTCAAGTTCCTTTTGTGTGACTGATGAAGCACAGTATATTATTGCTTCTTCAGAATTAACCCAGTCAACATCCTAGCCAGCTGAATGTTAACTTGATCAATATTATTGCTTCCTAGGCTAGGAGGGTTTTGTCTGTTCAGTATTAATGGCAACCATTAAGTGTTAAGGGAGTGCCCATACCTGCGGTCAAACTATGATTATTACCAGAGCTGAAAAAGGCCGAACTCCTAAGCACAAGAATGTCATTTTCAGTAGCCAACATCATGCACCAGCAAAGAGAAAAAGGTCAAAATACTTGGACAACATTATCATTTTTAAGTCATCTGGCTGATGATGTGCCTGGGATTATTCTGTTCATGGTCATTACTATTATTATGGAGGAAAATAAGGTTTGAGAGGAAGCCAAATGTAGAAATTTTTAAAAGATGTTTTAAAAACTATTCTGCTTAGGAGAATATTAAAATAGACTCAGCAGCTACTCTGACCTTACATTTTAAGACCTGGAAAATTAAAATATTTAAATTGACTTGTTCCCTAGAGGTTTTACCAAATGCACAAATGAGGACCTTGGATTTCTTGGTCAATAAAGACATTTTTATTCTACTTGTCCATTTGCTCTTATTGTGGTTAATTATACTCTAAGCTCCAGTCTGGCATCGAATTGGAGCAGTAGTCTCAGAAATAACAGAAAGAAGCATTATGGATTAAAAATACTCCATCTTCATAACTCTTTTCACTCTAAATCTGAACCATATCATTAATATTTCTAATCTATAATTTGAGATGTACTTTTGGTTACCTCCAAAACATATAGTAGAACTCTCTAATTCTAGCATTATAGTCATTAAGAGCATAATCCTATGCAAGTTTAGACAGAAAAAAATAGAAGTAAAATCCGTGAAACAGAAAATGAATCCTCCTGATTTCTTATGATTTTTGAAGGGTTCAACAAGTAAATCACAATCATACTGGGCTCTACAGGTGGTTTTTTTTTTTTTTTTTTTTTTTGCCTAAACCTGCATAGGATTGCACCTTAAAGACATAAAGCAATTTCGTAGCATCTGCTCCTATTAATGGGCATTTTTATTACTTGTGAGAAGTTAGCCTTAGCTGGACATTGTAGTCTAGGGTAAAACTACCACTAACACCAGATATGGAGGACCGTTCCTCGCCACTGGGCAATCCCTCCAATTTCTACAGCTGCCTTTATTTATGTATGTATTCATGTATTTATTTATATGCCATTCCATAGCCCAAAGGGCTCTCTGGGCAGCTTACAATACAACCGCAGAAGGAGCAATAAAATAACAGTTAAAGGGATAAAATCCATTAAAAGAATACAAAATCTGACAATTGTCAAGGAAATCACAACAGAGCACAGAGCAGTAGAAATTAATATTAAAACCATTAGCTACTAAAACACCTGATTGAATAAAAACCTCTTTACCTAGTGCCAGAAGGAGAGCAGTGACGGCACCAGGCGGGCCTCCCTGAAGAGGGTGCTCTTGAATGAGATGCAATCACAGAGAAGGCCCCTCTCCTTGCCATTTCCCCTAGCACTTTCTTGGAAGAGGACCCCTTCAGAGATCTTAGTGATCAGAAGGAATATATGGGGAGAGGCGCTCTTTCAGATTTCCTGGCCCCAGGCCATTTAGGGCTTTGTAAAATGATGTCAACACATTGAATTGGGCCTGAACTATAATGGGCAGCCAGTGTAGCTGACAGAGGACAGGTTTAATATGTTGCTGGGGGCAAGGCTTCATCAAAAGCCACACCACTCAGTTCTGAATTAGTTGACGTGTCCAGCCCATTTTCAAAGTCAGCCCCACGTAAAGCGCGTTACAGTAATCCAGACCAGAGGTTACCTGGGCATGGATAACTGTGGCATGACACCACTCATTCGAGCTGGAGCATAGTCTCATAGTCCACCTGAGAAACAAGGGACAACTCAGGGTCCAGGAGCACCCCCGAGCTATGAACCTTATTTATTTATTTATTTATTTATTTTTATTTTTCGATTTATATCCTGCCTTTTTCCTACAAGGGCTCAAGGCAGCTTACATCTCCTCCTCCATCTTATCCCCACAACAACAACCCTGTGAGGTAGGTTGGGCTGAGAGTCTGTGACTGGCTCAAGGTCACCCAGTTGGCTCCATGGCTGAGCGGGGACTCAAACCCGGGTCGTCCCGAGTCCCAGTCCCATGCTCTTAACCGCCGCCCCTTGCTGAAGCCTCGGGGCGGCTCACAACACAAAATAAAATACAATAAAATACAAAAATAACAATATAAAAATAACCTTGCAGTTATTAGTAGTCATTAAACTACACCTCTTTATTTAAAATACATCCTTTCCTTTCAGGTCATTAGGCATAAGACAAAAAAGTAAGAAACAATTTATATTTTAGTAATTATCCCTATAGCCCATTTTTCCCCCATTGTGGAACTCAAGGTGGTGTTGACCAAATGGTCTGTGTATGCCCAAAATACACAATGGGAGGAGGTTTTC